TATTGTTCCAACTAAGTTATTGTTTTATTTCTTATTTCCTGATAACCATTTATATTTTATTATTGTATATTCAGACCTTTTCAGGTTAGAATATTACTTTGACTTATATTTGTTCATATACTGATTATTTGATATTTTATTTGATTATTTTGATTGTTTATTTTTCTTGTATTTTGTATCTAAGTTGTTCTTCCGTAAGTTAAGAACACTTAGAAATATTTACCTTACTTTTTTCTATTTTATAAATTTGATTTTGTACTTTGTGTCTAAGTAGTTCTTTCCGGTAAGTCAAAGAACTCTTAGAAATATTTCTCTGATATTTGACTTGTTAATTTTATTGTGTGCCTAAGTCATTCTTTTCCGGTAAGTCAAAAGAACACTTAGAAATATTTTCATAATCATTATTGCATTATTATTTCCGATATTTATCTGAGATATTTTCTTAATATATTTGTCTCTTTTATTTTACCATTTCATGCTGAGTTGTTTCTTCCGTAAGTCAAGAAACACTTAGCAATATTTCCATATCTTTCCTATATTTGATTTTCTTATTATAAGTTGTTTCTTCCGTAAGTCAAGAAACACTTACAAATATTTGTATTCTTATTTTACTATATTTGATTCTCTTGTTTGTTTTTTTTTTTGTTCTAAGAAACGCTTAGAAATATTTCCATACATTGTTTCATATTTACATATTTCATTTATCTATATTTCTGTCTTAAGTTGTTTCTTCCGTAAGTCAAGAAACACTTAGGAATATTTCTACACTTTTCTGTTCTTTTATTCTTGTGTATTTTACTTCTCATTCTAAGTTGTCTCTTCCGTAAGTCAAGAAACAATTAGAAACATTTTCTGTGCATTGTATTTTTATATACCATTTTATTTCCTTGTTTACTAAGTTATTTCTTTCGTAAGTCAAGGAATACTTAGATTATTTTACCTGTTCTGTTTTCCATTTTTGATCTGTCATTTTGTAACTGTTCCTTGAAACCGTTACTTGTAACAGGTACTGTCGCTGTAACGGTTATTCTGTAACGGTAACAGTATCGACCCATTTCACCAGCGACAAACGAAGATGGTAAACACCCGTTCCAATTCCGGAGACAGGAAAAAGTCCGAAGAGCCGGCGATGGGTCCTACAGGCCCAAATGCCCCCTCTCGGCAACATGCAAGCCATAACAACAACTTCTGCAGTTTCTGGTTCTAAAAGTAAGGGTTTTCTAAATATTCTAAAAATCGAAGATAACATTCCAAAAACATTTTCTGATATTCTTCTCGCTCTACTGAGACGGTAATTAAATATCCTTTTGGGAGACTCTTTGTCCTGCGCCCCAGGGTAGGGTTTAAGTAAATTTGGTGATAATGGGAAGGCATCATCCCCTAAAAATACGTGAGGGACTAATTTCCGACGTCGTGGTAAAGAGCTATCTTCTGGAAGGTTGAGTTTGCAGCGAGTTAATAGTTTTTTGAATAATGTATTTTCGAAAACTCCTCCACCAGATATTCTCCCTTGGGAGCCTACATGAAAATACAAAAATCGGTAATTAGCATCCATTACGCCGAATAGAACAATGCTAAAAAACGTTTTGTAATTGAAGAAATCACTTCCACTGTTTTTTGGTGCTTGTATTGCAATGTGCTTGCCATCCATGACGCCTACACATATTGGAAAATTCCAAAGAACACTGAAATCATTAGTAATTGTTTCCCATTCTTGAGCAGTTTTAGGCATCTGAAATACAAAGATATCATTACTTATGCTAAAAATGTAGATCACTGTAATATTAGGCGTTTTCCTATTTGTAGTGTTTACATTTTATACAATGTATTTTTCTTTTCAGGATGATGACACTTACAAGAAAAATCGATGATAACGCTCGAAAAGAAGAGGCATATAAAATAATTCAAGACATACAAAATAAACGACAGCGAGACAAATTCGATGTATTTGGAGAACATATGGCGTGTAAAATTAGGGATTTGAATACCACCTGCGCACAAAATATTGTAGAACATCTTATAGGTAATATTTAGTTCGATGCAAGTATGGGTAAATATGATGATGGAATGCCACAATCAACTAACACATATGAGCCAATTTTATCAATGTAACCTTCCACGAGACCACAATCACATTCATCGTATTGCAGCACACCAGCTATATCACCAGCGGAGACATACATACAAAACTCTTCAGACTCCTCTACTGCTTTTGGTTCCTCAAACATTCTCGCAGAGGCATTTCAATTAAGTAACATGTAAAACTTCTAAAGTTATCAATAATAAAGTACAATAAAGTTTACTTACCTTAACTTGGTCTTTAATTGCATTTACTAGCGCAGCACATACTTCTGGTACTATCTTTGAGATAGCTTGTTTCGAAATCTTAAATAAATACATCAAGCTGCTGTAGGAATCTCCACTTGCCAGAAAGCGCAATGTTACAGCTAATCGTTCTTGTGGAGGTATAGCCTTTCTACAGTTAGTATCTGCTTTTCTTATCACTGGTGCAATTTTTTGCAGCAAAAATTCCATATCTGAACTACTCATGCGCAAAAAATTTTTGAAGCACCCATCGGTCCGAAGTTCTAATAAAACGTCATCTTTCTCTAAATCCGATAATATTTCCTTTCCACCATACTTTTCCCTTTTCTTCAAACTTGGACGGACCCAACATTTACGCTTCCGTTTTCGTGAATCACCACACAAAATTAGAAAGCACGCGGTAGCAGTTAATAAGTCTTCCTCCATCATGTCACAAAACTACAGCAGTATGTACAGAATGTTGTACTCAACTGAATTTGTGATTCAACAAGTTCAAACATTCATTAATATTGTTGCACTAGTGAGGACAGTTTGTTTTATGTCAAAAGTTTAATAAATTAAACATTTAGCAACTTGTTGCAACATAAAATTGCTACAAGTTGCCAAATGTTACTCCAGTGTGGACGCGCCTTAATATGATTTTATGGTAATATGTGAAAAAATCTTTTGAATATATTAGTAATAACTTTACGAAAAATAATTCTTATTTGCCCCGCTTTGTATCAATGAAAATGCGGTCAATTTATTTAGCATATAATAAATGTGAAGTACAGAATTAAGTTTTTGTGCCAGATTTTATTGTGGGTAATGAATCGATAATCACAGAAGTCGGGACAGATTGTATTGAGGAAAAAATAGGGAAGTACAGAAGGCCATTTAGGGACTTACAGGAAATTTTATATAAATAGCAGAAATATTGAGAACTGAGAGCATTGTATAAAAAATTATTTGAGAGTGTTTTGTTATATATCTATACAGTTTTTTTTTAAGTTATTCTTCTTTTACAATGTCTAGTGATAGTGATAATGCGAAGTCAGTAAAAAAAGCTAAATATGAAACAAAGAAAAAAGTGTTCTCTTTTTCATGGCTGACACAAGAGGAATTTAAAGATTGGGTTGTGCCAGTACCAACAAGCAAAAACAAATGCAAATGTATTGCTTGTAATAATGTTTTAAGTTGTGGAAAGATAGAATTAACCCCTACCGTCTAAATATTCATACGCAAAACATACCATTTTTGTTTAACCTTGCAGCGAAAAGACGGCACTGGTTTCTATTAATTGTGTCAAATATCAATTAAATAACGTGTGGTGTTTACATTTTACCGTTTGTTTGGTGTATTTCGTTAAAAATATGGCTTCTAAATCAAATCAAAATGACGTGACAACTAAATTTCGTCAAAAGTGGAAGGGAGGTAAGTCTTTATACAAAAATATTTATAAGTTGTTATGTGTTTAGTCAGATTCTTTGTTTATTCATTCATTTAGAGGTTATATTACACTACTGTTTACATTTAGTGGTATATAGAATCACTTTGTGTTACCGAGGGTATTCAAAAATTAAGCGTATGAAAATTCATACGTTAGGATTTTATGAGCATTAGTTTAGTTAGGCATTGTAATTTTATATTTGTTGTTTTTAGACCACTCACTACCGAAGAGCTAATAGCGTGTCTGGAAGAGTCCGATAGTGACGATGAACTTGCTGGTGCACAATTAATAGACATTACATTGTTTCCTCCTGAAAACGACGGAGACACGGATATCGATGAAGTTCCAGAGGAAAAATACTAATAGCGTGAATTTATTGGGCCCTGGTCTACTAGCAGAGTGCTCTCAGGTGGAAATAATTACACACGACCGTGAAAGGATGGAATTGAGTTTGGAACCCTTAACTTCAAAAATGAGAACAGGATCAGCAAAGAACATACCTAAGCCTAAAAAATGAAAAGTCGAAAAAACAAGACGTTCGTGGAAACCCTTGCATTTTGTAGAAGAGTTGCCAGCGGATTCTAATTTAAAAACAAAAAATAATTTCAAAATCGACCTCAAATCATAAATAATAATCATAAATGATAAATGCGTCGATAGTGAACTCCTGGTTATTATTTAGAAACATCGAGCCAAAAATCAAACGAATAGATTTCATTCGACAAATAGTAAATCCTATATTATCAACACCTAATCATCGTATTCCTACACCTCAAAGAACCTCAAGTGTCCTTGATGAAGTTCGATATGGCAGACTTGATCATTGGCCGATCAAAAATCAAAGACAGAGACGGTGTGCAAGATGCCATAAATGCGTAACTTTTATTTGCAGCAAATGTAATGTTGGACTTCACATTAACTGTTTTAAATTGTACCACTTGAGATACATTTATTTTGTTTATAATTTTAAGTTTTCTTTGTAAACTTTTATAAGTTCATTAGTTTCGTTTCTATTATTGTATAATTTCTAATAAAAACATGGTGTTGTGAAAGCCTAGCGTATGAATATTTAGACAGCTATTTACGACCACCTAGGTATATTTGAAACAAAAAAGCCTGAAGTATATTATATCCTAATCCATTTTATTGCTAAATTGAAAAGAAAAACATTTTTGAATAAGTTTTAAGGGGGTCAGGTTTTGAGGGGTTAAAAAGACATTCGTTAACCAGCATTCATAATACAAATATGAAATTACGAAAATCAACAGCAAAAATTGATACATTTATGACAAATAAAACCGAATTTGCCAAACAAAAAGAGCACGAAAACCAAGTAAAATCTGCAGAAGTATTATTAGCAGCGTCTATTGCTGACCACAACATAGCATTTCAAGTAGTGGACCACTTAATTCCAGTAATAAAAAAAAATTGGCTCTGACTCCAAAATATTACAGGATATTCAATTAAAACGCAAAAAATGCACAGCAGTGATTTCCAATGTCTTAGCATTAAAAGAAACAAATGAAATTCAATTTTTAAAATATAGTTTAACCTTCTTGAACCAATTTAATGCATTATTTCAGTCAAAAAATATATTAATATACACTTTACAAAAAGAAAGCAATAGATTATTAATGCAGTTCTGTCAAAATTTTATTAAACCTGAAATATTAGAAACTTTAAAAATACAAATTTTACATCCACATAATTATTTGGATCTTGAAAATATATTTATTGAAAGTGAGTCTGCACAAACGTTACAAACTTTAAATGATTGAAACAAAAAGAAATTAAATTAAACATCTTCAATTTTTATATTACAGTTGCACATGAAAGTTTCAAAAGGTTGCCAATAAATAACCCATTATTTAATGAATTTGAATTTATCCAACCTACAATTGCATTTGCTAAGAATAGAAAGCATCTATTAGAGCTACCCAATTTAATTAACCAGTCCAAAGACATTGTAGATACTGCTGCCTGTAATGATGAATGGCGGAATTCGCCATTTTATTTCACTAATGATGAATTTGAAGACTTTAAAAAATTGTCCATTCCAGATTGTTGGAAAAAATTAAGTACTGTTCAGGACTTTGCTGAAGAGTTCAAATTTAAAAATATTTCCCAATTAGCATTCATAGTTTTAACATTACCACATTCCAATGCAGAATGTGAAAGGATATTTTCGATCGTAAACGATGTAAAAACTAAAAAAAGAAATAAATTGGGCGAAACGTCTTTAAATTCAATATGTGTAATAAGATCGGCTTTTAAATCCAAAAACATAGACTGCACAACTTTTGAAGCAACTGATAAACACATTCAGTTGTTTAAAAACATTTAAATTGTTCTAGCAGGAAACGAATTTGTAGACGCTATAGCTTATAGAAGCGTCTATATTCGTTGCCAAAAATATAAAATTTTAGCATAACCACTTTTAGTTTACCAACATTTTTTCATGTTATACGTTATTGTACATACTTCTTATTATATACATTTTTTATATTCGTATTTTTTATATTTCATATTTTCAATTAAATCTTTTAAAAATTACGAAAGATGTATTATTTATTTAAAATACATGGTACTCGGTTATAACTTATTCTGTCTTAGTTTATATGTGACCACTGACCACCTCGCAACTCTAAGTTCTTGGAATCCCCGAACTGTAAAACAGTATGTCCATTCAGTCATATAGTATAGCGATTACGCAACATATAACGAAAATTGTTAAAGCTGTTTTACGATTTATAATTTGTTGAAAAATTTTAAATTGGTGTGTAGTTTCAGTGATAGCGATGGATAGGAAAAAGACGGCGCATATTTGGAAGTTTTTCACACCCCAAGACCAAGCTAACGCCATGTGTAATATATGTAAGCAAGTACTTAGTTATAAAACATCAACCACCAATTTAAAAAGACATTTTGAAAGAAAGCATCCTTTAGTAAAATTATCACCAGATCTAACTTTAAGAACCAGTGTTTTATCGAGACCGGTACAAATAGCTACTACCACCCAAGTTAATCCTATTCAACCAGGTAACTCTGAACCATCCACATCTTTATGTACGAGTATATCTTCTTCGGCAGGTCATAGTCAGGAGTCAAATGTCAGAAGCAAAATTCAGACTTCAATTCCGTATACCACTAAATTAATAAATATTCATTCGAAGAAAAAGTTTGACAATGCCCTAATGAGATTGTTTACAATAGATTTGCAACCATTTAGTTTAGTTGAAGATACGGGCTTTAGACATTTTGTAAATACTTTAAATCCAGCATACCAACTGCCAAGTAGAAAATACGTTACAAACACTTTATTACCAGCATTATATGAAGAAAAACTCCACAATGTACGGGAAATGGTAAAAACTGTAAGCTCCGTAACTATTACTACTGATTGTTGGACATCGATAAATACTGAGAGTTTTATGGCTACCACTATTCATTTTGTGACCAAAGAGTTTACCTTATTATGCGAACCCGTTTACCTTATTATGCGAACTTTAGAGACTCGTACGTAATGCATCCTATTGTATGAGTTTGTAGGTTCTTCTTTTTCGCAATTTTAATGTTTAATAGACACAATCACATTAATTATTTGCTACTTTTATTCAAAAGTATTTTGCTTTCTTTTTTTTCTTATGCATGTTCTGTAGGTATGAGTGTATTTTGCGTTCAGGTCCCCGTTTACCTTATTTTACGAACATTAGAGACTCGTATAGTGTAAGTAAGAAATATTGTAGAAACTCTTTAAGAGCGGAACCCTTTGATCTAATATCTGATTACACTGACCCGACTGGTTCGCACAGACTTGAATTGGTCGGTGCGAAATATTTTAGTTTAGTTTAGTTGGGAAGCAGACTAGACTAGAGTGTAGGTGTGTTTGATGGAATTTAATTATTTTGAATAGTGATGTGGCGTCCCTGGGAGAATGTGGTTGAAAACATTGCTTTTAAAAATAATGATCATGTACAAAGTAACAGTGCCGGTGTGAATATAAATCCTGACAAAAAGGTACCTGTAAACAAGATTCGAATACATTTAAATGCTGAAACACAGCAAGTATGTTTGAATGTGTACAAAAATCTACATAAGAAATTCGGCTTCGATGAAAAACTGTTGGCACAAGCAACTTCCGATTTAACAGAAATTCCACTTTCAAGTATATACAAAATAGTTAAAAATGAACCCTATCATCGCAAAAAGCGATGTGACTACAAATGTTCAAGACCTATAGATGCTTCACTTATAAAACTATTGAAGACCACAATATACGATTGCTACAAAAGCAATGAAATACCTACAATAGAAATAATACGAAAGAAATTGAAAACAACCGGTTGGAATATGAAATGGTGTGATAAAACTCTTCAAAATTGGATAAAGAAAATGGGATTTAAATTTAAAACAATAAATAAACGTCAAGCAGTTATGGAAAGTCAAAGAATAGTCAACAGACGTAATATATATCTAGAACAAATTACAAAATATAGGCAAGAAAGTAGGCGAATTTACTATTTAGATGAAACTTGGTATGATACCCACGATACAGTTAAGAAAGGATGGACAGATGGTTCAAACATGTGCATATCAGAAATGCCTGCAAATAAAGGGTCGCGGCTAATTATTGTACATTGCGGAGGAAGTGAAGGTTGGGTTCCGAATGCTTTAAAATTATGTGGGAAGAAAATAGAAGATTGTAACGTTGACTACCACAAGAATATGGAAGCTGATATTTTTGAAGATTGGTTTGAAAACTCACTGATCCCAAACTTGGAGCCAAACAGTGTAATAGTGCTTGACAACGCTTCGTATCATTCCCGACAGCTCACTAAGATACCAAATTCATCTTCAAACAAAGCTGAACTGCAAAATTTTTTAATGGAAAATGATTTGTATTTCGAAGATTTTTATACAAAAAAACAACTCATTGAAGTTCTACACATAAAGAAATTTGAAAAATTATACGCCCTAGAGAATATTGCCGAAAAGCATGGACACACTATATTGAGACTTCCCCCCTATTTTTGTGTTTTCAATCCTATAGAGTTAATTTGGGGACAATTAAAACCAAGTATAAGGCGTGCAAATACATTTCCTAAATTTGACAAGAAGGTAATTGAGATAATTAAAAAAGAAGTATCTAATATTACCAAAGAAGACTGGCAGAAAAGAATCGCCAAAGTAATCAAAGTTGAAGAATATTATAAGAAGATTGGCCACTTCCACATTAATGGTGGAAATAAATTTATTATTGATTTGAATGATGATAGTGACGTAGAAAATTCGAAAGAAGGAGAAAATGAATTAAGTGTATAAGTAATCTATGTGACTCAGACAAATTGTTGCCTCCATATTTCTATCGCCCATCGAAAAAAGTGACGTTATAAATTCGAGTAGCCGCTGTCCAGGGACGTATCGAGATATTGGTTGTTTTACTGATACAAATTTATTGATGTAAGTATTAAATCATAAAATTATAATGTGTAATATGTATAGTCAAAGAGCAGGGAAATCTGATTTTGAAAATAAAACAAAAGGTTATATTTCATTGTTTTTTAAATGGTTAAAAGTGTAATGTCAAAAAATTATATATCTGTCACCTTGTCGGAAAAACAACAAACAAAAAAAACATGATTGCTAGCGGCAGCTTTAATAATGAAAAGAATCTCGTTTTAAACTGACTTGAACTTGAACTGTTTACTTACGTTAATTTTAGATTTAACTTGTGTGTTAAAGTCTTAACATATTATCCTTAATAATTCTTTATTCTTTTCATTACAATCAATAAAGAAGAATACTTCTCGTTATCTTGTTAGCTCCAAACCTCCTCATCGGCAATATAAAAACCAGTATTTAACGACCACAAAACGTTTAATTCCATTTTTCAGTTGAGCTACCTGTTCAAAAGATTGTTTTGCTAACCCAGATAAGTATCATATTTCTTCGATAATTTATTATAAAAACAACACGTTTAATGTGTCCACAAAGGGAGACCAGTAAGGTGTATTTAGTTTCGGAACTTGTAAATAGGCAATAAATCTTCAGTTTATTGCTTTTTATGTATTTTTTGCTTGCAAATATATCGAAAAAACTAGCTTAAACGCCACTATATAGCACGAAGAAAAGTTCGTTTTCGACGTTAAAAATCGTTGGTACGTTGCAGAAAGCAAAATAATTAAGCGCCTCTTCGTGAAACAGCAGAACAAAAAGTAAACTTAAGATAAATACGTAGTATTTTTGTAACAAGTGCAATAAGAAAATGAAGTGATTTTAATTTACACGACCATTTTCATTACCAGTTCAACTTATAACTTGCTTTCGACGAAGAATTGTTTAATCCAAGTCCACAAACTTGACCAGTTCCAACGTCGTCTGGCTCTCTATTTATGTTGTAGAGAAGGGACAATTCACAACATTCTGTTTTTATAAAGTTCTTTTAGTAACAATAAAGATAAAAATAGCAACAGTAATTACAAAAGCTATTCTACATCACTCAATGCAAGCATGATGTAAGAGGGATGGTCACTGTAATGTCTCAGCCGCTGCGCTATATATTAAAGCAGAACTATCAAAATATCCAAATCGTTCATTTGAAGTATTCTATTATATATATTACCGCTACTATACGTAATGCATCCTATTGTATGATTTTGGAGCCTCAGATATCATTTCAATATCTTATTGTAATAATAGAATCTGCACTGCGGCAAATGAACTTACATTCACAATTATTTCAGATGTATTTAAGCAAACTAAACAAAGTTTCTGTTATCCAGAAGGAGGCGAAGCCGATTAAAAAGCTACAGCAATTACAAGTTGACAAACCGTATAAAATAAAGCATGCTAAAAGTAAATACTACATTTTGTGGGGAATTTATCAAAAAAGCTGAAGAGGTGGAAATTTTAGAACGAAAATATTTTCAAACTAAAAATAACGTTATTGATGTGACTACCGATTTAAAATATTGGTTTGAAGTTTACGTTAAAAATGTTGTTTTGAATGATTTATCTGAATTTGAGGAATCTCAAAGTGGTTGGGCAATGGATAAAATTATATCTTTAGAAATAAACATTAATAAGTTTGAATTGGCTAAAGGAGCCTCATCGTATATTCAATTGCATCCTAAAATTGCCCGAAAACGTGCTTGTATCAATGTTATGAATAACGATCAGGCTTGTTTTGCATGGGCCATTGTATCAGCACTATATTCAGTTAACATAAACACTAACAAAACTAGTTCATACCCCCATTACACCAATGTCCTTAATTTAAAAGGGCTTACATTTCCAGTAACTCTAAATCAAATTCCTCTCTTTGAAAAAAATAATGAAAATATT